TCGGGTACGTAAAGGGTGACCCAGCACCCTCTCGATTCTCAATCCTTATTCGAGGTTCCATCTCAATTCACATCACCTTCAATAACGTCTTCAATACTCGATCAGGGGCAATGGGCAAGGTCTACTAACGTAGAATGGTACAGAGGGTGTAGGGAAATGTCTATAAGCTCTATCCTTCCCTAGAAAGCAGCCAACCATGCAGCGTCCTCCGACACCCACTGCAAACAATCATTGTACCGTCGCGGTGACATAACTTTCGGGGCAATCAAAGTGTCCACGGCTGAACAGCTCGCGAAATCGGTCTGGCCGATTCAACTCAAGGAGCTATTTCCCCAGGCTGGTGTGTTACGATAGCAGAAAACGCACCGAGAACCCCGACAAACCCGAGCGGGAGCAATTTCTTATGGCGTTGTGATCTAGTCTCTGATAGGTCGACAAAGACCATCTTGCTCGTATCCTGGAAGGATCGGCGCTATACCAAACTACTTCAGGACGGACCGACTGTTGCCACAGAGGCCCGCCAAAGATTACATTCGTGTATCGTTATCCGCCGTGCCTGGGCCATTGATACGAGTACAAGCTCTAGGAAGCAAGCTGGGAGCGGGGAAGTCATCTTGACTGGTTGCTCAACCAACCACAAGTCTGTCTTTTATCATACGCTCTTACGGTACTATAACCGCCCCCTCTTGGACATTGATTATATATACCTGTGTGAGTATCTACACATCAGCACGGCACGCGACTCTAAGCTCGGCAGATACCACCTTGGACATCGCCTCACGCTTTCTTGGAAAGAGCCTTCACAATGTTCGACAAGAAGACACTGGACGAGTCCACCGACGTGGCGATTGTGCCAGTGCTATCTGGCAATGGCTCTTATGCCAATGGGACCATCGACAAAATCGAGGACGATCCTGCAAATCAAGTGTTCTTCGGCAGCTCTATCACGGATTCCTACCGTCTCAAGTCCGAGCTCGTCGGCCAGTGTATGGAACAGATTGGGATGGGTCGGTTCCAATGGGGCTTGTTCGTTGTCTGCGGTATCGCTGGAATGGTCGACAACTTGTGAGTCGAGAACCTGTAATTTCCCCGAAGCAGCCTTTCTGATGGACATTGTCAGCTGGACGCAAGGTATCGGCACCATCCAGCCTGTCGTAGTGCGCGAATTCTCCGATGTAAGTCGCGTCACCTTCAGCTCTATCGCCTTCTATGCAGGGTTGATCGTTGGTGCGTCCTTCTGGGGCATCTCTTCCGATTTCATGGGGCGAAAACCTGCCTTCAACATGACCGTTCTGTTTGGCGGTGTTTTTGCGCTGGCGGTCGGTAGCGTAAACCATTTCGTGGGCTTCTGCGTTATCTGGTCCATCATCGGAACCGCCGCAGGTGGGAACGTTCCTGTCGACAATATGCTCTTCCTCGAGTACCTGCCAGGATCACATCAATACCTCTTGACCGCCCTGGCAGTGTGGTGGCTCTTTGGCCAGCTTGTGGTCTCTCTTGTCGGCTGGGGCTTCATCGCAAGCTATACTTGTTCAGCTGAGGCGACGCCCGCGACGTGCACCAAAGGGGAAAACGTGGGATGGTATGCTCCCTGATACTTACTTTGCTTGGGTCGGCGCAAGTACTGACCGCCCAATTATAGGAGATATATCATGTTCACTCTTGGCGCCATAACAGTTGCTTTCGTGTTCCTCCGCATCCTCTTATTCAAGATTCCCGAATCTCCGCGCTATCTTTTGTCGAAGAATCGTGACGCCGAGGCCGTCGAAGCCGTCAACTACGTGGCGCGCTTCAATCGCAAGCCTGAGCCTCTGACGCTAGCCATGCTTCAGCAGATCGACCACAGTCTCGGCATTGCCAGCCAAACCACGGATGGTCGCAAGGGCCTCACAAGGAAGCAGATCCTGAAGGAAAATCTTGCCGACTTCAAGACCGCCAACGTCCGAAGACTGTTTGCCACCCGGAGACTCGGCCAACACACTACTATCATCTGGCTCATCTGGCTCACCATCGGCATCGCGTACCCGCTCTACTTCAACTTCCTACCCACCTACCTCTCCCAGAAGTTTGTCGACAACTCCTATTCCTCTCTGGATACCACGTACCGCAACTACTGCATTACTTCAGCTGTTGGAATGGCCGCACCACCATTGGCAGCCATGCTCATCCAAACACGCTTTGGCCGACGGTACATTATGGGCATCTCATCCGTCGCTACGGGTGCCTTGCTCTTCGCTTACACGGCGGCTAGGTCGCCCGCGGCCAGCTTGGCTTTCACTTGTGTGTCCGGCTTCGTGGGAAATTTTGGTTAGGCCCCTTCTGCTCTTGCATTGACTTGGCCAAGTCTTTGGCATACTCTTTCATTTTTCTTTGCTGCACATGACTAACCAACTACGCACCCATAGAATACGGCATCCTATTTGCCTACACTCCCGAGTCATTTCCAGCACCCCATCGAGGACTGGCATGCGGTCTCGCCTCCACGCTGCAGCGCATCGGCGGTCTCTGCGCCGCTCTGATCGGCACCTACACCAACTTCACCACCGTGCCGATATACGTCGCGGCCGCCATGTGGATTGGTGTCGGACTCGCCTCATTCGTGCTGCCTTTCGAGACCCATCATCACGCTGCCATTTAAAGGGGTTGCGGGCCCGATAATCGTTTAAAACTTGGCTAAGATCTGTACGAGCAAAACTGAGCGGCTATAGGAAATGAGGCTTGGCGCGCACGAAGCAAAAGGTAACACTCTTTGTCTCCTTCGTTTTCAATTATCTAACAGACGCAGCCAGGTCTCTCTGTCGTTTGATTATTTGGCAAGCAGCCATGTAAATCCCTTCGTGCGAAGGGAGCTCGCAAGACGCCGAAGACGGAGCTCAGGGGCGGTCGGGCGGGGTGGGCTCCACCGCCTCTCGTAATATTTGAATAGCCTCCTCGAGATCTTCCATCCTTCCCATCTGCTCAAATCGGCTCTGAAGCTCGTACCCAAGATTATTCAGTCTCCCTACCAGGTCGGGATGGCTGCCTAAATTATCTTGGGAGCAAGTTTAGGAGCCGATTCGAGCGGACAGAAAAGTCGGAAGATTTCGATGAGGCTATTCAGACAGCACGACGGGCAATGAAGGTCATCCAGCCCGACCATCCCGACCCGGTTGGCAGCCTAAATAATCTTGGGAACATGCTTCAGAGACGATCCGAGCACCCAGAATCAGATCACCTCACCCCGCCCATTTTGGAATGATTCTAAGAAGGCTAGTTAATTGTTGACAGGGTCGCGAGAGCACCATTGGGCCAAACCACCTGAGACGCTAGACGCTTCACCAACTGCGTAGAACTGCCTCAACCTCGTTGTTCCTGCAGACCTGTGATAGGATGGCGACGGAATAGGAGGTTTCAGGAATGCTCTTGTGGCTACAGGCCGATGTATATATAAACAGGCAGAGTCTCTCTGAATAGCCAGGAGGACAGAACATAATCAACCAGACAGGTCCACAACTCAACCTTCGTACAACATACTGACTCCTTTCCTTTCCTGGACATCACGTGACATCACAGTCTGGCCCCTCCAGGCCGCTTTATTCGGTTGACCTTCCTTCCACATGGTTCAGGCCCCGCCTGGCGTCCGCATGTAAGGCTGTGCCCAACACCGAATCGGGGGTGAGAGAACTCTTCTTCTTTGTCAAGAGTTGAGTCGTTGTTAATAGGACTACGTGAATAGAAAAAGAATTAGCTAGCTTAGCTCTTAGTCACCTACCGCGTAGCGTAAGTCCTAATACGAGGCCAGTTTCATCCATATTATTGGTATTCGCTGATAGAATTGAATGTCGCTCTTCGACTAGCCGCAAGTCTTCAAACTATGCCTCCAATGTCTCTGGGGTTGTGCAATTGGCGCGCTTCGAGCAGATCTTTTTACCTACCTTGGAACGTAGATTAGGATGCCGTTTAAGAAATTGCGATATCCAATTATAACCAACACTGTTATGGCCATCAGATGTCTTGCTAACAAGGCGGGCTAGTTCTCGCGCTGTAGAGAAGGTCGGAGGGTGTCCTGTCGCTTCGAGATCAAGAATCCATCTATTTAATAGTATCTCTTGCGTATTCGACAGTAATTATTGCGATCCATGTGAAAAAGGTCTCGATTGAGTGGTACCTTTGAGTCTGCGACTTAACGTGGAATAGTCAACATCATTCACCGGGGCGGCAGACCGAATAGAGGGATATCGATGTGATTGATAGTCGTCGATGGCCGTTAGCATTCTAGCCTCTCGACTGGCGTCCATTTGATCAATTCAGCTAGGTGGTTGTTGAGTGGTTGAAAGGTTGAGAGCATATGGGTTAGTGGGGTGAAAAAGCGCGTTGCTTTGACAGGTTGGCGGATTTAATGGCGAGGAGGTGCTCAAAGTACTGAGTGCCGATTAGGAAGCCCTACTGGACTGAAAGCGCCTTGTTGCGACTGACAAATACAAGTTGCTAAGAACCAGAAGTCCCCCGCCAGGCACACTAACAGGGATCCACATCTGCACGCTCGTCTCAATGCACGCAACAGATCTATACAGGATTTCTAGACTGGCGCGTCTTGCTGCCTCTATATCTCTCCAGGGGGCAATATACAAGATCAAAATCCTGGCAGGAATGGCAAAAGTGGAGCCGCCGCTTGCAGACGGCGCCTCGTTCAGCGCCGTTGTCTCCTTACGACGTCTATGTACGCCATGAGTACCAAGGCTGTTGCGCTACGAGTCTCTCTGTTGCCTCCGAACCGGCCAGAAGCTCTCGATATGACGCAGGACGGTATCGACGAGCTTCAGCGAAGGACAGTCTCAGCTGAGACAGAGATGGTTACTTGCGCCTCATGATTGCAGCCCCGGAGGCAGCAGCCCCCCCGGCTGGAGCCCTTGTTTGCCCATATATACTCCGCAGGGAGGCTTCACTTGTAAACCATCTACTCAACAGATGGTATCTAATCTGCGAAAGAAGGACGGCGTATCGATCTTCTTTCCAGACCAATGACCTCCACGAACTTCATGTTGCTGACAACGCTAAACGCAACATTGGGAAACTCAACAACTACAACCTCGCGAGCCGTCTGTTCACTTTCTCCACACGCAAGAGCCATCAGCACTGTCCTCGCCGCCTTCGTAGGCTCCGTTATCGGCGGCATCTCCGACAGCTACTTCACGGCTTTTTATACCACATGGATCTCCGGGATAGCCTCGCTACGAATCTTGGTCGTCAGCGTATGGGCTATCATCGAAGTTCTTCAAGGCAATCCTCTCAAAGGTGATGACCAATTTCACAATTTTTATGGGCAGATTCCCGGCTTGGGGAAACTCGGGAATGGATTTGGTGGCACCCGAGCTTTCGACGACCCTTTCTTCCGCAAGGGTGCGGAGGCGCATGATCCCGCCTTCCTGGGGTGATTGGGATGGCTATGGTCGGCGGCCTCCTAGCCTGTCGTGCAGACTCTGTGACTGATCGAGCATTGGGATCAGACGTCAGGCGGCCTCGGGATTGTTCGGGTCCTTGGTGTCTCAGTCACGGCGCTGCCATTGACGATGGACACTCGCGCTCGATATGGTGCTGCGCTGGGCAACAAGATTGGGATGTGGAGCGAGCTGGTCTTCAACTTCATAACAGCCGCCGGCTGCTTGCTACTGGGAGTTATTGACAGCATTGAGTCAGTCCTTGGAGCGACGGAAGTTCTCGTCCCGATATTCGTGGTCGTGTTGTTTGTCGTGTTCATGCTCGTCTGGACATATGCAAGCCTCGCCTTTGCCACGTCCCACGACGAAGCCAGGTCCGTAAACAATATCGGTCAATTTCTCCGATGGTTGGCCTTCGGAGCGTTTGGTGGATTGGCTACCGCTACGCCGGCATTTATCCTCCTTCAGAATGCCCGAACACACCTGGGTCCAACCTTGGAGCCTATATGAAATGTGAATCAGTTGCGCTGCGGCAGAAGGTTGTTTTTGTCCTTACCTGAACACTTAGGCCGTGAACGTCCAAACCAGTCGATATCTCCGAGCGCGCTTGGAATATATTCAAACGATTCCCCGAGGACCTTTGTAACTGTGTCTGGGTAGGGCCGAGGGACGTCGCATTCTGAATGCAGGTCCGGAAGCATCCCAGAGATCGTTACACCTTGATCATTTCTATCCCCTTGATCCTTTTCCAGTGGCTCAACGCGTTGCGGCTTAGCCCGAGGGAGGGCGAACGCCCGTTTTTGACATTACCCCTTCAATGTCCATGTCTCTATACACCGTTCACTGCCAAATTTCGTCAAACAATGAGTTCTTCCGTCTCATTCTGTCTTGCCTTCACTGCGTGGACGTATAAACCATTTCCTCCCCTTGCAAGTACCCACGGAGACTTTCAGTATTGTTGTTTGGTTCATTTCAACCCCTTTCTTTCCTTCATAGAGCATGTCTTTGGTGAAAGCTCGAAGGTTGTCAGTCTCTGGTATTCCCCACTACCCAACGGAGATTTTCACCTTTGACACCATGGCTACAGGAAGAGAACTAAGCGTAAACCCAGCGCCGCCGCCTGAGCCCCCGTAATAAATCCATGACCAAGATGGTGCTTGTTGAGGCTGATATAGGACCGTCAGGAAAATTGTGGGTGTCTGTCTCGAAGTTAATGAACTGATTACCGCATATGCTACATTCATATCATTCGGTAGTTCGGTGCCAAATTGATAGATGCATGGAGCGCGGATCAGATCAGAGGGTCGTCCCAGTGTTACTGTCGACCCCATTTAGAACATTGGAGTCTTTTCGTTCCTCTTTCTAGGCACATTTGGTTCTTGTCTCGTCGTCTTTCCATATCACTCCTTTCTCTAATTAGCGAGTCATTCTTGTACAACAATATCAGATTCATCGGAACGCTTTAACTTCTTCTACCACCATAGTTCTATCCTAGGGTCTAGTCAGACCCTCATTCTGCCATTCGGGGCCTGGCTTGGATCTCGGGTGGCGTTTGTGTGTTAATGATATTGAATCCCACTGTACAAAAGCCAGGACTAAAATATCAGTCTGTGATATCCACGACTCCCGGCACGTGCCGTTGCCGGCAGAAGCAGCATGGTCAACACAGCTATCCTTTTCATCTGTGACGAGTCTCTTGAACTGGCCAGAGCCAGGGCCTGCAGAATCTCGGCATCCTTCTCGACCTCTATTGCCAGGGTCCTCTGTAAGAGCTCCGGCCAAAACTTGTGGATTTGTGATCCATGTCACCAACACATTCCAAGAACAGAGCTTACCCCTACCTGTTGTAGTTGAATATCCACCCGACCCATGAGACGTTCCCGATTGTGCAGGTATTCCTTGCATTCGACGTTAGTATACCCCCAGAATCCGAAGAAGTCCGCCGAAGCTGAAGCAGTAGATTGATTGCGCCAAGTTTTCTGGATGCGTAGCACCTTCTCGAGCCCTTCATGACAACCCACTTCGAGATCAGTCACGAAAGTCGAGAGGCCGCTTGTCATCACAGCATGCTACCCGACTAATGTCTTGCACTGTGTTCAGCGGTCAGATCCTGCATGTCCCTGACCTGTAGTCCCTGGATCCTCAGAGTTTCGCTCGCGATAGAGAAAATCATCCACTAGGCCAAAATCAGATTGAGCCGCCTTGATGTTTTTGGCGCAGACGTTACGCTGCCTCGAAGTATGTTAGCGCAATGTCAATATAGAAGAGTTGGAAGAAGGTGCGGGTGTTCTCCGCACGGATAAAGGCTGTTCAACATGCGCAGAAGCTTGCAGTTCTCAGTACTTTCGCACCTCAAGCCCAAAGTCCCCTGTGTGAGTCGTTGTTGAGCGTCATACGTGAGAGCCATACTAGTGAAGTAGTCGTCACACCGGGAATGAGACATATCATTCCTATAACTTAGGCGGGTGACTTGAGACATCGGGCAGGCCTAGGTGTCTCACCTATGTGACGATAGTCCATGGCCTCGAAGATGGTAACGGGAACTCCTTGCCTGCGAGCAAGAACAAGTGCATTCCGACCGGGCAGCGCAAACACTGCAGAAACTCTGTCGAACAAGTTTTGGTCCTCCGAGGGGAAGCCAATGCTTGATGCCGAATTCGCCCACGGAAGGATTAACAGCCTCAGGCCGCAGACAACCTCAGCGGCGGGTTGAACTTCGAGGTCTTACAGCCATTGTTTTACTCGCTGGCGAGATCCAGCTCTTTCCCATGAAACTGAAGGTGTGCCATTCTATTCTATTGTTACTTGTTAGCTTTTCTTACATGGATTGCTTGCACCGCCTTTAGATGGCCTTCCCCTCATCTTTCATGAACCCTCGAACTTCATATCTGTTGGGTTTCGAAAACGGCAGCCTATTAGGCAAGCAAACCCAACGAAAAGGTAAGTACAATATCGGGTGTTCTTTGACTATAGATTTACTAGTCAGGAAGCCGATCACTTGAAGGACTGAACACGACCAAAGAGCTCATCAGACAGATATACATATGCTCTTATCCTGCTCCTGGCGTCTGACGATTTACGACACGTTGCAGAAGACCATTTGGTGTGATCATGCGCCCTGCACCTGCATCTGCCGCTTGTATCGGGGTGACCAACCTTGTTGCTTGTCGACTCTACCTCGGCGCCGTATTGGTCCTAGAAGTCCATCACGAGAGGAGATTTGTGAGAGAATGCTGCGTCCTCAGGCTCAGTCTAGACCCTTTAGATCCAACCGAACCTCTCCAAATTCAGGTTCTGCTTGTAAGTGCCGTGGGGAGGAAACCGTAAATCAACCTCACCGGTCTCGGGATGGATATCATCGACACCGAGGTGTGAACTCGAGGGCTCTTTGCCGTGTTGGCAGATTATCCAAAGATATTGAACATACAACCGGCGAGTGCCAGTTGCGCGTAGAACTCTACATATGTATGCGTTCAGTTTGGCACCGAAACAGTAAATTCTACTGAACGACATGAGTTTGGCCAAGCGGTCATTACAGCAGCAACTAGTACGCGCTGAGGCTCAGATGTTCTCCTGCCAAGGCAAAAGACATCTGCCGGTGGAAGCTGAATTCCAGGGCAAATGCCCTGTTTGTCAAAATCTAGATGAGAGTGTGCTTCGAATAATAGCTGGGAAGGAGTTCCACATTCGTCAAGATGCAGACCAAAGAATCGACCAAAATGCAAGTTGTCCAGCTGTGTTCAATGTCATTGGAAACTTTGATTAAGTCACAAGCTATCAACTCAATGCACAACTCTATCCTAACTCAGATATCGCGTTGGGACCTCAATATACCAACCCCCTGCTGTACTGACAGACTCTACAGCTCACTAATGATGGTAGGTTCTGTTGCGCGAAAGGGCATTGCCATCGCCCCACAGACACTGCCCATCATCTCAGACAGAAGGAGTAACATAAAGCAACAGATGAATTGACCAAAAGGACAACACAAGCCGAAATAGACATGAAAAGATCACACAAAACAGGATTGCAAGAATGGCCATTTCCCTCCTTCCTTTAGATGGCGCGTAGTCTTCTTGCAAGAAGCAGACTCATCATGACAAACACGCCGATACCCCCAAGGATGCCAAAGAACCAATACAGTCCCTCGGTGTTTTTGCCAGGGACGTTGACGTTCATGCCAAAGAGACCTGTGATGAGGTTCATGGGCACCAGGATGGTCGCCAAAACCGTAATCTTTGCCAAATTCTTGTTGGTGTGGTTGCCCTTCAAGATGTTGTCCACGTTGAGCTGGGCTAGGTAATTTGCATGCGAGCGGGAGAGCATCTTCTCCACGTGCCCCAAGTTCGACATCATCGTCACGACGTGATCTTGGATATCGCCCAGGTACAGTCCAATATCACCACGAGGCGTCATCTGGTATTGGTCGTTGCAGCGCTTTGCAAAACCCTTGATGACGTCTGCCTTCCCACCCAGCAACCGCATCATGTTAAGAACGCGCTTACGACATTCGCCAATCTGCCGCAGAAGAGCCAGAAAGTCGTCCTCCCGAGCGATAAATACTTGGTCCTCAATGTTCTCGGATTCTTGCTCCGCATCGCGAATGATGGGCGCAAAGGAGTCAACAATATCGTCAATCATGGCGTAACAGATGTAATCCGGACCGAGGGAAAGGAAATCACCAAGCTTGGCGATGCGCTTCCGCACGTTCTTCGGATGTGGGTTAGGGCTGTAGCTGAAGCTCAGAACTCCATCACCGCAGACGACAATATAGACGTGAATTGGATCGAGAAAGTCTTCGTGGCCCCTGTCCATGTTGAATGACCTGAAACAGACAAAGTAGTACTGTGAAAACAACTCCACCTTCTCGCGAGCCTCTTGGGTCTCGATATCTTCCTGGGTGAGGCGATGGATCTTGAAGGCCCTGCAAAGGACAGCAAGCTCGGCTCTGGTGGGGTTGAGAACGTCTAGCCACCAAACACCACCATCAGGTCCGACCTCGAAAAGATCACGGAACGTGGTACCATCGGCAACAAAATCACCCAATTTCTTGGCACGCTGGCCTTGGGTCAATTCAGAGGTAAACAAGAAGAATCTGTCAATGGGTTCTGGAGCAGCATGCCTTGGTCTGATTATGACCTCCTCTTCCGATGAGGATTGACCGTTGTTCGAATCGTGCTGCGTAATCGGTTTCTCATAAAAACATTCGCCGTTGAGGATGGCATTGGGAGCTTCAGCGTGGCCGACATGTTGGTTCCGGAGATCCACAAAGGCCCGGCTGTCAGTCGAAGCCTCGGTAACCTGGTCGTCCGGAATCTTGCCTTGTGCACAGAGAGCGACAAATTCCTCGAGTTCCTCAAAATCGATCTTGTATGTCTTTCCAGGTTCTTCGTCGGTGGGGAAGGTCACATCCTCGCTGAGGTCCTTGTCGGTCCGCTGGGTAAGAGCAGGAGGAATGCTGATGTTACTCAGGGTTGGACGTCTTTGGTTGGTGCCATTCGAGTAGGCGC